GATATATCTGGGTGTCATCAGCGTACAGGTGGTAGTGGAATCCAAAAGAGGTAATCAGTTTGCCAAGAGAGGCAGTATAAAGAGAAAATAGAAGGGGACCAATGACAGAGCCTTGGAGACTCCAACCGAGACAGGACAAAGGGAGGAGATATCCATGGAAAAGGAGACACTGAATGAGCGTTGGGAGAGATAGGAGGAAAACCACAAAAGGACAGAGTCACAGAGACCAAGTGATTGAAGAGTTTGAAGGAGAATATGATCAACGGAGTCAAAGGCAGCAGAGAGGTCAATAAGAATTAGTATGGAGTAGTGGCCTTTGGATTTTGCTGCGATTAGGTCATTAGTAACTTTGATAAGAGCAGTCTCAGTAGAGTGGAGAGGGTAGAAGCCAGATTGAAGATGGTCAAGGAGAGAGTTGGAATTGAGGAAGTGAGACATACGGGTAAAGATAAGTCTTTCCAGAAGCAGGGAAAAAGGGAGCGGGGATATGGGACGATTGTTAGAGGGGGAGGATGGGTCAAGAAATTTTTTTTTTCAGGATAGGTAGTACAGTGGCATGTTTAAGGTCAGCAGGGACAACGCCAGAAGAGAGAGCAGTTGAAGATATGTGTTAAGGAAGGCACAAGGTACTCTATCCATCATTCTGTTTTTTATCACTGTATCATCTTGCTCTGTCTATTGTTCCATTCATTGCTCTATTGCAAGGATGCCCAAAAGGTAGATACCCAGATGTTTTAAAACTACAGCTTCCATGATGCTTTGTCATTGTAAAGGCATTCTAAAGACATGCAAAGTATCATGGGATTTGTAGTTCTGCAACATCTGGGGATCTAACTTTTGGGCACCCCTGTCTGCACAAAAAACAAACTATCCCAGAGTGAGATCTCAAGAGTTATTCCAAGCACCATAACCACTACAGCCTTCTGTGTTGTTTATCAACAATTTTTCCCCTTACCTGGGTCCCTGATAGTCTGGTGACGACTCCTTCTGACCACTCTCCGTCAATGACTGACATTCTGGGAGTGTCGGTCCCCCTAGTGGACCTGAAATGTAATTAAGGGGATCTTCTCCTGGGACTGTAGTTTAGTCATTAAAATGTTGCAATATAATGGGAGGGGCCACCCATTACCTTTTAAGAGGCTTCTCTGTAACCTGTCACTCCTCTTCGGTTCTTGTGGTCTCCTGAAGTTCTCCCTCCCTCTCCTTTGTTTCTGTACTTGTTATCCTGGGCGCGTCGCTGAGTTTGTTCCCTCTCTAGGCGGATTAACATAGCGATGTGCCCACGGCAGGGCCTGTTTAGTCGAACATGCCTTTTGAGTCCCTGGCTGTTAATTTTTGTCACTCCCCTCAGATGCCTTCGGGGTTGGAGGTTCCTGTTCCATCTACTGCAAGATGGTGCGGCTTTAGGGCGTGGTGCAGAGAGAGAGGGCCGGAGGAGTGACGGCGGCAAGGAGGCTTGGCTTTTCTCCCTCTCGGGCAGTGGCCCGGCTTGGGCACCCGCCTGCAGCCTGTGTTCAAGGTGGCCGTACTGAAGATTCTCCCTTGCTATCATTAAGCCTCTGCTTGGGCGGATACAACGGGTTCTCCGCTGCAGGATTAGGTTGAGCCGCATCCTCTTGTGGGCTGAGGAGTTTAGCCCTCAGCGCCACCACCCTAGCTAAATTTGGTTATTATTTATATTTTATGGCCGTTCTGTTTGAATGGTTTTTCTGCCATGATGCCATGGTGATGTATTCAATAAATGCGGCCAGGGATGGATTTACCTCTCAGCATGTTGTCTGTATTATTTCTTTCAAGGGAAATGGTGGCTTAGGGAGGGTTTTATAGGGTTGATTATTTTGGCAAAAACAAAGGAACGAAGGAGATTACTCCTTATGTACAGTGAAAGCTGCACAGAATTGACAATAGCCAACCTGGAACCAGGCTGGCTGAGGATAACACAAACACCAGAGGTGGACATGTCCGGCAGCAGAGGGGTTAATCTTTGTTTGTAAAGCATTTCACGGTGAAACACTGCACAAACAGTCTCCAGGCACCATGACAAATCAGTGAAATTTTCAGGGTTCTTGGAGAAACCATTTAAGTTATTTTTTTATGCTGGAACCCTAGATGGTTTGCAGTGGAAATTGGTACAATGGAGAGCTCTAGCCACAAGACCCTTTAATGGTATAATGGACCACAAGACATTCTGCCTGTATAGCTTACACTAGGAGTGCACAACCTTGGGTCCCAGGGCCAAATCTGGACCGAAAGCATGACCACCGTCCTTTGCATTCAAAATTATGTGTAGAGACAAATGAGCATGTGTACCTGCCTTCAAAGCAAATTGAAACGTGTCAATGTCAGGCCCTGTCATCTAAAATCTAGCAACAGGTCTCTTCCTCAACTTTGTGGTTCTGTGCTGTGTGTGAAGGGTGAGGACTTGATATTCCTCCTCACACGCAGAACCCTGTTTGGGCTGCACCCTCCCACGTTACAGAGAAGGATCCCCAAACACAACTGGACTAGCTCTAGTAGATTATTCAGAAAGAAGCATTAGCAGATATTCAAATAAGAGGGGCTCTCCAGGGTGGATTTACCACCATTTTTAAAATTATTTGATAATATCGTAAAATACACTTGAGAATATTAAATAATTACAACCATCACCTTTGCAGGCTTTTTCCAGTGACCTTATCTGTCTCCTGTGATGTCACTGTTACATAGGAACTGGCTGGGCATCTTCAGCCAATCCCTGATCTCTATTATTTTGCACTGGAGGGTTGCTGTGCAATGTACATACATCACATAAGACATGTATACTCACCGATTTCTTTAGCAATTGAGAATTATGTGCTACAGAGCGACTGCAATTTTTCCATTTGTTTAATTTTTCTCTTTGAATTTACGCATTATTGACAGTGCTACAGAAAATGGTTTTTTTTTACATTTTTTATTTTTGTTGTGCAGGTGAGTACAAATCAATTTCAAAACGCCACAATAGCGTACACATTTATAAACAAGCGGAACAGTGGCAGGAAAAGGTATGCACATTTTTATGTTATGAACAAGCTTAATCCTTCCAGCTGAAGTGGTAGAGGTTAACACAGTGAAGGAGTTTAAGCATGCATGGGATAGGCATAAGGCTATCCTAGTTATAAGATAAGGCCAGGGACTAATGAAAGTATTTAGAAGATTGGGCAGACTAGATGGGCCGAATTGTTCTTATCTGCCGTCACATTCTATGTTTCTAACATGTCTCAGAGTAAGATTAGTTAAATATCGGGAGTAGAGAGACATGCGATCATTTATTGTTAAGTTGTTATGCTTAAACCACACATGGAAACAATAGTAGGTAAAACGAGTTATTAGAGAGCTAGCTCGGAGACTAGTTTGCTTAAATGCAGAGTATGCACTGGAGATAATCTAACTAAAGGTTAATTATAGGCATCTGCAACAAAATGACCAGGCTAAGGCTTATAAGTTAATGAAAGATCGGATGGGAGCAATAGTTTAGTGAGTACTCAGTCCACATCACATAATGCGCTGCGTCCATGTTGGGTACCCCTGATTTCTGGCTTGATGTCCGACATCTGATTCATCCTATCCCCCTCTGCGGCAGTGGTGAAGCTTGGGCAAACCGGTGTTTGGGGTCCCCCAATGCGGTGCCCCTCCAACACCCATTCGAGCTCCGGTCCGGAGTTTTGGCTACCCAGGTCCCCCGGCTGTTTATGTTCAGCTCTTCGTCTCGGGGGCCCATGGGATGCTGACAGAGCTTGTGTTGGCGGGAGACGTCTAGTGAGTCGGGGTGTTGAGGACAGGGGAGTCCTGTATGGGTCTGCGGTCTCGTAAGGGTGCAGCTCCAGGCTGAGTCCCGCCGGGGAGCCGGAGGTCTTCCGATCCGATGCCGTCTCCCAGATGGGGGACCCTCTCAGCACACCCAGAGAGGTGTGGGGAACTGAGGGGGTGAACACGGGCTGAGTCCCCGTTGAGACTTTGGGCGACTCACCACTGGTCGGCGAATAAGGTGCTTGGGCTGTCGTCTGCCTGCCCGTCTCCTTCCCCCCCGCTTTCCAGATCTCTCCAGAGGCCCGTCCCGGAGTCGCAGGTTGCTGCTTGGAGTCTCGTGGGATTGTTGTCGGTGGGACTTCTGCCCCTGAGGGTAGAGAGCTTGGCCGAAAAATTAGTAAGAACACGGTCGAGCCGCTCCGAAAGTGGGGGTAACGGGGGCCCAGATGCTGGGTAATATGTGGCGTCCACCTTGATGTGCATCGTTGGTCCGGTGGTTCAGGTAAGCCGATTTTGGTGCCCTAGTCCTTGGCTGCAGGCTGTTGTTGCTGGGATATCCCTCTGCGGCAGCGGGGGGAGGGGGGAATGGAATTTGCCGGGGAGACCTTCAGTGATGTAGGTCGCAGTCGGTGGAGGGAAGATCTATCCCCTGGCTGCAACTGCCGATTTTGGTCAAAGACCCAATTGTGCATTGCTGTAGTGGTAGACCCCTGTCTCTGGGGCACAAAAGCAGGCATGAAATAGATTGTTTGCAGGATTTTTGTTGAGTTTTTGCTCATTTTAGTCCGGCGCTCGTCTAGTGTGCAACCGCTCAGCTAGGCTGCCAAGCTCTGCCCCGCTACAGATAATTTTGACGCGTTATAAATAATTGCAGCAAAAGGTATAGCACTTCTGGGATCTGTTTCTCCCTGGATTTTGTCTGGGTTATTTATGATAGAAAGAGGCAAACGTGTGCAGTTGAAAAGTTCTTTTAAAAAAGTAAAAGGGGACGCACAAGATTGTGTCAGTTTGTTGTGACAAAATGCCCAGCTTTCCTTACACAGATCATTTTCGGATTCCTGATGTCGCCGGTGTTTTTCGTGATGCATGTCCTTGTTGGCAATATACATTGTTAGCGTCCTCTTGCAGGGGTATCCAAGGGTTAGAAAAACATGCTCCCACCTCAGCTGTTGTAAAACTACAAATCCCATGGTGTTTTTCCATCCTTAAAGTTTGCAATCCATCATGGAAGTCGTAGTTGTGCGCAGGGATAATAGCGGGGTTAAACATATATTCTTAAGGTTCTATGTTCATAACCGATAATTTGATTTCTTGTCCCCTTAAGGTCACAACTTCTGGAATAAAAGGGAATCGTGACGGGATATTTCTGTCATGTGTCCTTAAGGGGTTAAAGAAAGTGGTAAGGCGAAAATGCCACCGCTGTATCTGGACATGGCCTGCGCACCTACGAAGAGGTTAAACAAGCGCCATTATTGAAAAATTAATTAGGCCCTTACATGTGAAACATCTGCTCGCTCCTTTACACGTCGCCATCTCTGATCCTGTTTTATGCGGCCCTTAATTTAAAGCAAAGACATGCCTTCCCTTATTGTTCTGATCTCTGATTCAACCTCAAATATTCCCGAAACATCAAAAAACAAGTTTACAACCAATAAATCGGATGACTTTGAAAACAGAGGGGCCAGGGCCGGCTGCTTCACTCGGCAAGACATTGTTACAACCTCTTTGATCAGCTCTGTGCTCCTAAATGAAAAATTATCAAATGGCTCTTTTAGAGGAAAAAAAATAATACAACCTTTTCTTCTTCCTTTTTTTTTTTTTCCATTAGGTTGCGGGAGATAACCTTTATTAAACCTGATCTAAAATTGCACCCTATTTCTGTCAATTCTTTGATGCCCCTAGCTGGTTCTTTAATTTCCTGTTTTTACTAAAGACGCACATTGCACTACGATAAAGCTCTTCGTGGTTGTAAGAAGACATGAAAGTCCCCCTGGCTACTTTCTGCCTTTTGTTTTGATGTATCTTTGCTCCTTTTGAAATTAGCATATCCTTTTCAAAGTCTCCGTCTGATGAGAGTAACGCTTTTACTATGATGGATCATCTAAAACCCCTAAATGCTGGAATATTGTGTAAAGATGTGACACGCAGGAACGAGGGTGGGAGTCCATCTCTAATAATGAAGCAGCAGGGTTTTATTTGTGGGTTTTTTCATTGCGCCGGGCAGATATTGCACATTAATGAATTGGTGAACTGGTGGGGGTGGGGGGAGGTGGTAGATCAAGGCATGGAGAACAAATGAATGTTTAAATGGCACATTGGACGGTGGAAAAGGGAAAGATTTAATTATTACTTTTTTTCTCCGTAATGTCGGCTGTGTTTATAGGCAATAATGGTGCAGACCACGCCGATGTTATTTGAGAACAATTACCATACATCATTCCATTTTTCCTAAAACAATGTATCATGTCACTATTTGTCACTAAAACCTCAGTTGGACCCCAGAATACCCATGTACTGTTTAAAGGGATAGGGATACTGAGCGACTTGGCAAACACCCTACCCCCCCACAATTTGGACCCGTGGGGGTTATCCCGGTCTCCACTGGCCACACTGAGCAAACCTGAAGACGGATTTACTGGCCATGCAGCCTACAGGGGTACCGCACCGTCAAGGCACAACCAAGCCAAACAGCACTAGCACCCAGCCACCAACGCAGCCCATGGAGGCTTTTGACCGGCTCTGTAGGAACTTTTGGACGACACTCTGCAACCGCGGAGCGACTCACCATCAAGCGGTGAGAGCAGTGGCTCCATGGATCCGCCCAGTCACCCGGCGCCACCACTATGATCCCCTGCCTCAAGACCCCACAAGCGATCAACAAGGCGGGAAACGGCGCCATGGTGTTCGGGCACAAGCACTCGCTCCCACACACGCAGGAGCTGGAGTTCTAAACAAGTCCCACATGCACGCATCTCATCTGACCCAAGAATCAGAGATCAGCACGGCATACCTCTGCCCTTTACGGTCATAGCCACCAACTGGGTTGTTATGCAGGGGTCCACCCCACCACTTACTGACGGAATACCTGCACAGAGGCGCCATTGAAGAGGCCCCTAATGCCAAACTCCGGGATATTCCTGCACTGGGCATAGGATGAAGCACCCAACCCTGTGCCCCACGGCGGCATGCCCTGCACTGCGAACTGAGAGCATGTTTTCAGCAGGTGCGATGTGGCGTATACCTCCTAGGTACCTTGTGCCTTGTCGATACATTTACATTCCTACTCCTCTTGTACTTTCTATGCCCCATGCCTTGATGAAGCTGAGTGCCACTGTAGACAAGTGTGACCCAGTGGTTCCCTGAGTGAACTTAGCTCAAACCTACATTGCTACTGTTATTTAAGCGAACATCTATCTGCTACACCTTAACGTGCGTACACATCTTAGATGCTCACCTTGGCTAATCACTCCCATGCTATCAGTTGGAGCGCTCAGAGCTTAGCCTGTTGTTTCATCATTGTTTACTGATATGAGTCATGTCCTCGTTTCACTATATGCCTACAAAATGTGTCTAGCTTGTGTCAAATTGATAACAAAAAATTGTGTAGTTTTCTAGTGCCAAATTGAGAATTTCGATGATTAATATATGCATGCTGTTATGGCACATTGCACATGCTTGTAATTTTCATGCACAGGAAAAATAAAGAATTTTAAAAAAATAAATAAATTGTGAATTCCCTTGTGAATAGGGCCCTAAACTCCTCCTGTATTTGTCAATGTTTTATTGTCTCAGAAGTATTGTACCTTTGTCTTTTTACGTGTACCAATTGCACCCATGTACAGCCCTAGACAATACAGTATAATAATAAAATAATAATTGGTGGAACTCTGCACCCGGGCCACCGCACGTTTGCCTGGAGCGGACTTTCACTGACTCGTGGACAAAATCGGTCTTCTGGTCAACCTGCTGGCTGAACTGGTTGCTCCCCTGCTACTTGCATTGTATTTTGCATTGGAATTGATGAAGCACTGGACTTGTTAAAATACATGTTCATGAGATCATTTGCTGTGAATGGGATCTGTAGTTTTCTAAGTTTCGATTCCTGCTTTTTGTCTGTTTTGTGCGGCTGATGAGGTAGGAGGGCCACAGTGTATCATGTTGTATTACCCAACGGGAGACCAACAGCTGGAGACCGTACCATAGAAAACTCAATATTTACAGTCATCTCTGCAGTCACTCCAGATAGCTGGCAAAGAGAAAACTGCTAAAACATTCATCCACATTGTTATTCGGTCTAACGAAAGTCATACTAGCCTTCATTCATCTACAATACTCAATTTTTTTTATCAAAATACCTATTTCAACAGAGGGTCTGGCTTGAGAACAATTAATCTAGAATGTATATTTAAGAATACAACAGGTTCCCTGTTAAACAGAGCACACGGGTTTGCTGATAATGCTTTGTCATCCTTTTTCTCAAGTGACTTGTAATACACAGTAAATCTTAACTTCTAGGCCAAATTAGTTAAATTTGAAAAATAAATTGACTGACATTTTTTTTCAGGTTGGCTACTGTGGCCTTAACAAAATGCTGGGCTTAACAAAATGCTTGGTGAAAATACCAACAGTCAGGCTTGCCACCCACTTACATCTCTGGTCGGCTGCCCGATTCCCTGCTCCCTTCGGTGTTCCATCCGACACTGCACACTTCAGTACAGTGTGCATTTATGTGTGACGGAATGCGCTCCTTAATTCGGCGTTCGTCGAACCGAATTCCAAATTCAGCGCACAAATATGACATCAGAGGTCACACAAGAAAGGACAGTTACCGTCCACAAATTATATGTAATTCCAAGCTGACCTGGACCAATGAGAGTTAAGAACTGCCTATATAGACTTACCACTCCCATTCCTTGTTGCCCTGTTGTGGATCTTGTTAGCCCAATAGCATGTTACTGCTGTCTTCTGTGATTCTTTGACCTCAGCCTATTTACCGTTTTCCCTGATTTCTGTATTAATTCAACCACAGCTATTCTTAATGACTCTGTTTGTCCGTTAACCTGGCCATTCTAAGGACCGGTATACGAAAAGTCTATTTATTGCGATTTGTCTGTGTGTTCTGGTTTCACCCGATCCTGACACCTGCAGACAGGTAAGAGTAGTCTAGGACGAGCCAAGATCAGTATTACAGAGGAACACAATAATATAAAAGTAGTCAGAATCAGGATAACTGTAAACCACTGTTAATGCCAAGAAACAAATTATTACACAGAGAACACGCTTAAAGGGCGACTATGTAAGCATCACGATGGGTACTTGAAAATACCCAGCTGTGAAGTCCAACGGTTTGTAGCCTAGGCTCTCTCAGGGAGATGCTGAACATATCTCTTTACATCAAAAGCAGTCCAGTGAAGATGTCATACCACGTTAAAGTGGGCTGCAACACCAACATGCTCAACAAATACAACATGTGAGAATGTTTACAAATTGTGGTACCTTAATACATCTTGATTTCCTATACGTAAACCCCTGAATTTTTAAATTTATTTTTAAAGTAACTGATTCCTTCAGCCTTCGTTGGCAAAAAAAACTTAGTTACTGATAAAGGGATGAAAAGTTACAAAATTAACAATCTGAAAATTAACAAGGCAGTAAAAAGGAAGTGAGGGAAAAAAATACATAATATAAATATTCGCCAGTTTTTCTCAGATTAAGATAAGAAAAATGACCTTTTTTTTGTACGCTCATTCCCCAGCATGATCTGTTGATGAATAGAATATATTTTCTTTTAGAATGGAAGACTTTGCTTTGAAATGACAGAGAAATCAGGAACATATGGGCTGCGGATCTGAGAGACGCTACCGGGAGGAAGAAAGGCTGCAAGGAGTTTCAGATCTCTTTGTGATCCTGGCGGTAGAATATTTTAATGTATACGTCTTCATATAGCCGCTACGAGGGGTCAGAACTCTCTGGGACGTCCCATTTTGGATTCTAATCATTGTTATTCATGCAATGCAAAGCAGAAATTACTTTAAAAAATGCCTCCGCTCTCTTCCGTTTGACACAGCCACGGAGACAGGAAACAAAAGTCACTCCTTATTATAGATCTGTATATATTTAATCATTAATAATATTTGCATGACTACGCAGGATTGAATGTAACTCTATGAATACCAGAGGAACGAGCAATGCTTGGCTCACACTTCCTTCGCCACAGTTTATAGATTCAACGACGTCATTTATTGAAACACAAAAACATGGATTTTAGACTGAAACTGGCGAGGTAGCTCAATTGGTCAGTTTACCAACTACATGACGTGTTCAAACCTAGAGGTTGTATGTTTCATCGCTAGCAGGTTTATTCCATCAAACGACTACTGTTTTGTTGGATAATGTCCATCAGCAGTCAGGTAGTAATGCTATTCTGTTATCTTTACACATTT